AAGGGACAAAACTTTTAAACAAGATTCGACACTCGATACAGACACACACAATAGCACACACACACACACACAAACAGACTCGGACTCAGCCTCTTTTATCCTTGCCCATTGTCCAATACAAATCGTTACCAATTTTCAGCCCCGAATCGGGGGGCGGGCCAGCGAGAGAGCGGCGTGGTCGGTGGCAGGCCATAAGCAATGGTCAACTATATATGGACAAACAGGAGGCGCACACCTTTCATTTATTGCTCGTGTCCGCTCTCTTTTCTCTCTTTGTTCCTTTCTGTAGCTGGTGGCGTATACGTAACGTGAGGCATGCTCATATGGAAACATATGCACAGGCAGAAACATAGTACGAAATTGGTGCATTGGTGCTGAAATACAATGTTTTTTTATTGAGGTAATTTTAATAAAAATAAGTTTAAATACAATAAATTTGTAATATTAAAACTCTTTTGACTCTAAAGCAATAAAAGAATAAACACATTTATGATTTTTATATTCACAGCTTTCCCTATACTAACTAAAAGATTTTACCTGTGCTTTTAGCGAAAAAAATAAAACGCCATTTAGTTTATTTATTAAATGCTAATCTCAGCAAATCCCTTATTATTAATATGTTCTTTGTTCTGTAATTTAAATGCAAATCCGTAAAGATAAATTCTTATATATTAAATTTAAGTCTTGAACAAGGAAATGTTCTTATAGGACCAAATTTTCTGTTTGACATTTAATTGAAATTCGAGAAATAATTCTCAAATATCCAATTCTAAAAGAATCCCAATATATATTTATTTAAAGTTCTTAATGGTACCGAATCGCTATCTTTAATGTTGAAATGAACAATGCAGATATATTTGATTTTAAGCTGAACCACAATAAACACGTCGCCCAAGAGGTTAATTAAGAAATGCCATTTCTATGCTCATTTTTCTTCGTGTACGCTTCCAACTTGCAGGTGGCTGAGGTGGTGGTGCTGGTGGTGCTGGCGGAGTGGTGCAGTTGGTGGTGCATCGGCTTTATGTTGTGTATATGTCTGGTCGGGGTCTTTACGTTGGCTTGATTGGATTTGCCGATGCAAATGAAGAATCCAATTTTTAAAGTTTGTTTTTCGTTATCGTTACGTCTCCTGTTAGTGGTGGAAAACCTCCGACTGGTGTCTCCGCTTTTCCTTTCCTTTCCATTCCTTCCGTTTTCCCATTTTTCTCATGCAGCTCACGACACACAGTGGGTCTTGGCCATTCTGCGCACTTTTTTTTCTGGTCGCCGTCGTCCACCACCACGTTTGTTTTATATTTTCATTTTTTGTTTTTATGTTTTTATACGCCCTGCTCGTCCCGTTTTGTTGGTCACATCGGCACACTGGACTCAGGACGTCAGGAGAAACAGCCAACAATAACCAGGGACAATTCAAACAAACCGACATGGGAGGCACCAAAAATTTGTTTGCCGTACAGAACAAAACGAAACGAAACGAAAAAAAAGTGTTGGGAACAGAAAAAATTTGAAAAAGAAAAGTTTTTGCTTTTTGGTTTGGCACGCCATTTGTTTGTGTCCCGATGCCTTTTGCCTTACCACAAAATCGAATTTTCACTTTTAAACAATTGACGTTACCGCATACGGGGATACACCTGCATGTGTGCCACTGAACGGGTACATTTTCTTCTCATTTTTTTTTTTTGAACTTTTTATTGTGATCAACTTTTTGTGTGTTCGTTTATTTTTCCTTTTCTCATTTCATGCCTTTCAATTTGTTGTTTACTCTTTGTTTTTGCCTCGGTCAGCTTAATTCAGCTCTGGCCAAGTGCCTCTCATCGTTGCCACTGGCTTTTGTGTGCAGTTTATTTGGCAAATAAATTTACCAACTATTTCTGCTAAACTGACGAGGCGGTGGTGTGCGATGGGTTTTTTTTGATTGGTTTTTGTTTTCGAAATCAACCAAAATGCTTTTCGGCAAATTGAAAGCGAAAAGATTCATTTTAATCATCGCTTGGACAAATTGTGTTTGCATTAAAAACACCACACGATACGTGTCAAATCGAGTTGTGTGCGCTATGTTATAAGCACATCCGATCATCTGTAATAATCAATTAAGCCGCAGGGGCTGGCAAATCGCCGAATATAACGAAAACATGGCATTTGCAATTTGTTTATTTGCAATTATTAGAATTAACAATGCATCGATGATTGATGCGAAATTATCGCTGGCCAAACATTAACGACGTGCAGCCATGGCAACGCGATATTCGAGTACGCTAAATGGCAATTAGTGGGAATGAAACTTGATAGCTCAATAGTTGGCAGTTGAGCGGGCTTATTAAATAATTGAGCACCGATTGCCGGCAATTTATCACAAATGATTTGTTGGAGGGCTGGCGAAAAAAGCGAAGACCACGCCATCCCGCTGAACGCTTGTATAAATCTCCGGGAATACGATCCCCTGACAGGCAGCTACAATTACACCCGACAATCGCCGGAGTATCGATAAATTAATCAACATCTTGTTGTCGGGGCAAACGCTTGCCCAGCTGCCATTAAATCGCCAGATGCTATTTTAAGCAGCATTCCAAGTTTACCGACCACATTCTGCTATTAATGTTTTACTGGCCAATGGCATGGTCAGCGGCACTGAAAATTAGCCCAAAACGCATATGCCATAAATCCTGACCCGAGAGCTGAGAGCTGAGAGCCAGACAACCGCTCAAACTATGAAACGAAACTTTATTGACCCACAAATAACGTGCAGATAATTACAAAAACAAAGGCAACTGCCCCCAGGAAAACAAATGTGTCCGTTGTGGGGGATGGAAAAAAGGCAGACAAAAAAGGCAGGAAGTGAGGACTAAGTGACTGGACTAAAAAAGTACCCAGTAAATATGTTTAAAGTTCAGTATTTATTTAATTTGATAATATAACCTTTACTGAAACCTTTTTTTTTTTTTAATAAATTTCCATTAGTAAACATAATATTTATGTTTCACCTTGCACAGACAAAAACAAATGGAATTGTAAAAATAGATAAATATGGCTAATTCATTTAAAATTTTCTATTTATTTGTCAATTTCAAATTATAATATTAAATGCAATGCATATTAAATTACATTGATTTTGTCTTAACTTATTTGCATTAATATAGAAAACATTAGATTGAAAATTACAAATTTTAAAGTTAATTATTTAATTATTTAATATGACTTAAACTTATATTTGAAATTATTTTAGATATTATTTCGAAAACAGTCAAATTAAATATTGAACATTTAAATATTTTCTTATTTAAAATAAATAAAACTAGCAATGAATGCAAATCAAAGCTGATAATATTTAACAACAACTTAATCACTAGGTTTTTCATCAGTGTGACATAACAAAACGTACATGCCATTTTCTAAGGGTCATAACCCTGAGGTTCCGAGGTGTTCATGCTGATGGACGAAAATAAGTGATTAGATCGATTAATATAGAAGAATTTAAGTACCAAACAAGATAAAAAGAGATACAATTTAATATACTCTAGCACCCAGAGAGTACCAGGTATTGAGGAAAAGAAAAGAAAATACCATGGCAAAGTGGAAAAACTACTTACAAGTATGTTAACATGCGCAATTGTTGCCGTTGTCCAGCTCCAGGACCTCCGGGCAAGCTCAAGCCAAGGAGCAGCAGCAACAATGCCACGGAAATCTTTTCTTTTCCGGCCAGAGTTTTCCCCCTCCTCTGCGCTGCGCCGCTGTGGGTTTTTCCCAAAGATGTTCAAGTTTATTTGTTGTGGTCATGGCAGAAAGTAATCCAAAAGATAAAATACAATAAAATAAAAGGCCAGGGCGGTGAGTTATGTCCGAAGTTGTTGTTTCTGTTGCTGCTGTTGCTGTTGTTGCTGTTGTTGCTGTTGCTGGAGCTGCATTGGTGGGCAGGTCTCGCATAGACAATACCTTAAAGCAACCCATGTGTTGTCGTCTGTCGAGCGAGTGTGCATAATTTATATGGCGAGCTTCAGCCATGTTTTTGGCTAAATTATTTCCCTGGCCCCGAAGCACGTGCTGCCACCGGCCACGCGGCCTTCAGGTCAACCGTTTGGGCCATAAATTTAGACGCCTGCCCTGCGACACGCTCTATGACATTATTGAACTTGAAAGGGATATGGCCGGGCAGCAAAACAATAAGCAAAATCGGAAGACGAGGTGCAGGATCAGAGGGCCAAGAACACAAAATTCACTGAATTGACCTTGTTAACTCCTGGCAACACAATATTTTAGAGGGCTATGTTTAATTCTGGTCTTTGTAGGGCCAAACCCATCTATTTAAGAGCATAAGCCGGTGTAATTTACTGAAACAAAAACAAGGTTCAAACTCACTTATAAAGCTGTAAATCCAACTTATATACACTAATAAAAAGATGGAATAGAAAAATATATAATATTTAAATGAAATATTAAATCATAATATAAAATACAATGTATATTAAATGCATGACTTAATATTCAAATATTTTAAGTTAGATAAGATTTAAATTGGTATTAAACTTTCAAATACTTAAATAAATTCCGAAAATAATCAAATGACGAATTTTAAGAACTTAGGGTCAAAATATTTGGATTAACTATTTTTTTTAGCCAGTGTACTTATATACCTAATCAGGGAATGTTTTTTTGCTTAGTTTTTTTTTAACTTTAATAAAATTAGTTATAATTTCTTCTAAATAGAATTTGAAATTTGCACAAACTCTTCATATTCTATGTGCTGAATAATTTGTTCCCAGTCCAAAAAAATTCGTTAAATGTATAGTTGATCTGTAATCCAAGCAATTAAACTGATAACATTTTGCGTTAATTTGAATTCTGAGTACAAATGCTGATAAGAAAGAGGTTTTATGTCGGAAATGCCCCTCTATATAAGAAATATTTTTCTCAGTGCCGGTGATGATAAGCATTCAGCTTATCTGTCAATGGGATATAACATTAAACACAGCTCGCTTTTGCTCTAGTAGATGCGAATCGTTTTGTTTGGAATGATGATTGCTGCTGCTTGCTTTTTTCTATTCGCATTGCTGATTCATCAAGAATCAGCTCAGCTTTTGGATTGGAATTGTGTAAAAGACCCACCGGATCACAACGAACGCGTTCCTTGGCTGGCATTTATAATGACGCCCTCAAAGAACTGCTCGGGAGCGCTTATAAGCAAACGTTGGTATTATTGCTTGTGATTTCAACACACTTACCAAAACAATTATTAAATTTCAGAATTTGTCATAACCGCTGCGAACTGCGTGGTTGCTGAAAAGGAAAGGTGAGTCGACTTCATAAACTATATATTCGGTTTCAAACCAATTACCTTTAATCAGCTCAGTTCGTTTGAACTCCGAAGTTTACCCCGTCCAATATACCTACTTAACTTCCAATGACAGTTTTACGATGGATATAGCTCTGCTAAAGCTTAAAGAGCCTGTAATCTATAAACCCTATGTGAGGCCAATATGCATTTTGTTGAGCGATCTTGTGCTAAAAACCGGCAGGATTTTAAAAGACACCCGTTGGGGCTTAACTGGATCGCCTGCAACGAAAACAATTACTAAATTTAAGAATGCAAAGTGCTATAGCTCCTTCGGAAAGCGGCTCAATGAATTCCAGATCTGTGCTGGCTACAGCAACAACGATCAATGCGAGGAAATGGGAAGTCCATTGGGAATTGATGCAAATAGTCAGAATGCAAATATTTACATACTAGCCGGAATTCAGAGCTATGGCGCTTTAGGAACTTGTGTCTACTCCAATATCTTAAGGTACATCGGTTGGATAGTAGGAGTCGTCCTAGAGGTCGATGTCTTTGTTCACCATTAAAATTATATGTAATAAAGCAAACTTGTGTATCCGAACAACTAAACAGATAACCACATATTTTAAAGAACCTACGAAGCATAATTTCCCATACAAAATTTCGGTCAAGTTTTTGCTAGACGTGTTTTAAAAAAGGAAGCCAATTTGTAGCATTTTTTTCTTAAAACTATTTTTTATTTTCCTTATGGAACATATTTCCTTGAGTCTTAAATCCAACAATAAATTTATGAATGTTCCATCGGAGTCTCAATGTTAAAGCTATGAAACTGATAAGGAAGTGAATTTGCTGATAACATTTTGGAAGCAAAGTAATTAGAGTTTTTTTTATAATTTCTAGAAAATTCACCAAAATCCCAATCTAATTTTAGATTTTAGATGGTTTCTGATGAACATTATATTGAAACTCAAAACAAGTAACCTTAAAATTGCTTGGCTTTTCCTACTTAAATTACTAATGATTACTAATAAAACATCCGAAATAAACAATTCTAATCCAAAGTAAATAATCTAATAAAAAAATACAAAATTTCTGAGAAAGATTTTTTTCTTTCAGTACTGATAAGGCCCAAGTTTTGTTATTGAACACACGTCGCTAGTGTTTCAGTTGTGGAAAAGCATTTGGTCTGGAACGATGACTTTCTTTGTTTTTGGTGTTTTGTTCTCATGTCTGCTGCTTCATCAGGGATCGGCCCAGCTTCTGGATTTAAATTGTGCCGACATATCCAAAAATTCGATATCAAAAAGTCCATGGATGGCATTGGTTCAACTGCCCGATAAAAATTGCAGTGGCACCCTGATTCACAAACGTTTGTATAAAGATAAGGCTCTTATTAGAAAATTTAAACATAAAAGATTTTTGTTTTAGAATTTGTGGTAGCATCAACAAATTGTGTGTTTAATCAAAGCGAACTGTAAGTCTGCTGAGCTTTATGAAGCTTTTTAACGTTAACTAAGTTGTTTCCTTTCAACAGCACCGTTCTTTTGGGCGTTTTCAACAGTAAACTACACAAAAAGCATTACGACATGTATCCCACCATGCAAATTTCTGTCCAAAACGTCTTCATTCACAATAAATTTGACAGAGACAACTATAAAAATGATTTAGCTCTGCTCCAACTAGAACAACCTGTGCCCTATAAAGAAAACATACGGCCCATATGCATTTGGTTAAACAGAAAGAAAATCCAAAACGAAAAAAAAATTATGAAAACAACACTTTGGGACGTAACTAAGAAAATGGTGTTTCCAATTCCACAAACCAGAAACGTAACTCTCTTTTCACCAATCGAGTGTAAGCATGTCTTGGATGTTTCTCCCGATGAATCGCATATTTGTGCTGGTTACAAGTTTAATGCCTCGTGCGTGGAAGCTGGAAGTCCTTTGTTTCAAAAGTTGAACATTTGGAATACAAATCGTACCACACTTATTGGAATTCAGAGTTATGGCGTTTCGGGAACTTGTCTATTTACGAGTATCTCTAGCTATATTGATTGGATAGTTGGGATCGTGATGGAGGTAGATGTTATAGTTTCGAATTGAGAAGATATAAATTAACGAAAAATAAATTTTCTAAATAAACTATATGAAACAAAAATAATACTTGAGAACGTCTAAGTCATGGAAAAACTATGGGTGTCTTAAATCATAAATTATTCTTCATACCCTGTTCAAAATGCTAATTTCTTTCTGTTAAGACATTAATTAAAAATGTATCTACTGCTTGTGAGTTTAGAAGCTTTGTGTAGAAATTCTTTTTTAGCAGTTTATTTTATTAAGTAGATTTTGATTTGGATTTTCACAATTTTATTATAAACATGCACTTCCAAAAAAATGCTAATTTCTTACTGTTACGATTTAAATTTAAATTTATCTTCAGTTTGTGAGTTTAGAAATTCTGATTTCTTAGCAGCCAGTTTGATTGGCCTGGCCTTAAAGCCAAAAGCTGCTGCCTTGCCGCTATTTATGTTGTTGTGGCTGCAATTGCTTTGGGACCGTTTAGCATTTTTCAAGTAACCACATGGGGTTGAGACCGACAGCAGATAGGTCCCGAACCTTAATAGCAGCAAAGCGGGGGCGTTGAAGTATTACAAAACTCTAACAGGCGCAAAAAGTTTGGCCAAAGAAAATGTTCTTAATTTGATTTCTTCAACGCCCCTGGAGTGCAGTATTTGCGGCCAGGGAGACGTCTAAATGTGCCTGTATTTTATAAAATATATACTATATATTCCAACATACAGCATGGTATATAAGCCATTGGCAGACAAGGTCTAATAAAAAGGCTTGGGCACAAAAGTTTTTAATAAAGTTTTTATGCCCCAGCTACAAGCATAAAGCTCAGGCAACAGAAAAGGAAATGGAAATAATTGAGGCAATTTGTTACGCAGGGAATAAAGGTAGGAGGGTTAAGGGAACTCCAACTTCACATTTTATTCGCTTTCCTTTTTGTTTAAACCTTGAAATAGCCAAATAATCGCTTTGATCCTGCCCACAAAGATGTCAACTTTCTACTTGGAATTTGTTAAAACCAGAAAACGTATGAAACACGCTTCAAGTTTCGAGGTCGCAGAGTGCACGCACAGAACAATATGCACCGTTTCGCAATGCAGTTTGAATTTCATTTCAAAACAATTTGTAACAGTCTTTCCAATATAACACACACACTAACACACAGGCGCGCGGCAATCGAAGTTTGGTTTGGCAGCTAAGCAAATTTGCTGCAAGTCTGCCGCTGCCACTGCCGAGTCAGCAGTGCATCCTCCATCCTGCGTTCTGCGTCCTCCATTCGACCAGATCCGCTTACCATGCACTCTGGGAAATATTTCATAACATTACAAAAAAATATTGCAATTTTCCTTCATAGAAAAATTAAATCTAGATCTATGGCATTTAATGCTTAACCTACTTATTAATATTATTAGGGTTAGTGGCACCACAAAACATAAGCAAATTAGTTTTATTTGTATTGTTTTGTTGAAATATGTTTGAAATTTCATTTCAATGCCAAACCAAAACGACAATATATAGGGGCATATTTTAAAGAAGCATCAACAAGTAAATAACTTTGAACATAAAATCAAGTTTTTAAAGCTTTAGAATTATGTAATACAATGCGAATTTTTTATTACCTATTTTTATTATTTTATTTTATGAAAACAATTCAAGAGTTACATTGCTTAATATATTACGCTGCGTACTTATATATAAGTTAACGTATTTATTTATTTACTAAATATATTTTGTTTGTTTAAATTAACTTATGTATTTGCTTTGAGCGCATGTAAGTAGATTAGCAAAGTGATAAGTTTTGTTAAAAAACGGAAATTTAAAGTTTATCACTCATACGCACTGTTGCCTTTAAGCTCTAATCTTAACGAAAGTCAAAGAGGTTTTTAAATATTTATTTAAATAGATTTGCAAGTTAAAAGGCCCTTTTTAAATCATTTTAAAATCAGACTTTCTTGAAGTGTTCGATGCGTGTGCATGTCAATAATTTTGCGCGTTCGCTGGCGCTCTTCGCTGCCTTTTTCTTTTTGATGAATTGACAGGCAATGCTATTTGTCAGCAGTCAATGTGTTTGTTACATTTTATTGCCAGCTGGTTGCTGTTGCTGATGTGGCTGCTTCTAATGTTGCTGCTGTTGCCGTTGCTGCTGCATTGTTAATGTCAGGCGTTAGGGCATACGCTAAACATGCGGAGCAAGTTATTTGTCTGCATTTTATATGCAATTTCTCTATGCATCTCGCTGTTCGACAGACGGCCTGACAGGACAAAAGGACGAAAGGACGAGAAGGACGAAGAGGGGCACTAGTAGCAGCAAATTGTGTTGTATTGTGCTCGCATGCATCCGACAGTCGACAGTCGACAGCTGAGATGGCTATAGCTTCTTCGATTTGCATGGTCGCTGTTTGAAATAGATTACGCATCCGGCGTGCCAATTGCCCCTTGAACTTTGATCAGCGGACGGAGCGGAAGCGGAGGTCACTGCTGTCAATCAAAGGAATCGTTCTGCCTTTCAATTGATTGAATGCAATCAACTTGTTTTCAATGATAGTGCAAATTTCATAACTCGCAATTTCCGATGCAGGTGAAGCAGTTGCCCCTGGTAACGCTTTTAATCAAATTTTGTCGAGGAAAAAAAATATGTATTGCAAGGAATTTAATTAGTTAATACACCTCAGCCTACCCTTATTTAATCTTAAGAATTTTTCACCCCTTTCCGTCAGGTGCTGATTTTTCTTTCATCACATTTCGCAGATCTGTCTCGAATTGCATTGAAATTTATTTACGGAAAAGTAAACGAGAAACCATTTCGCTCGACTCCACTTACACGAATCCTTTGGCACTGTCAATTCAATGGAATCGGTTTGAGTTTTTTTCATTTTTTTACGTTTAAAGTTTGCAAATCTTTAAATCAACTTTTGATAAAAGGAAAATATTTTTCTTTGTAATAGCTCTGGCGAATAGCCCTTTATACAATGCACTTCACAGTTTTCACATGTACACCTAACACAACGACTGACGTCAGAATACTCGACCCAAAAATAAGTGAAAAATCAGCGGCAGTCTGGTTTCATTTGTAGTTTCCGGTTAAAATGTTACGGTTGCGTTTTAATAATAAGTGCATGTCAACATAAATTAAAATACTCCCGGTTGATTAATAATGCACAACGAAAATGTCACAAGGAAATATGATTGTGCGACGGTTCCGTCACTTAATTCCCTCTACTTCTACAGCAGCTCACTGAAAAGTAACCTGAACGAAACATCAACAAGGCAACTGGAACAAAGGATGTTGCAAAATAGGGAAACTAATTTTCGAAATGCCCTTAAAATTGTTAAAGGTTTTTTGTAATATTCTATAAAGAAATTAAATGTTTTTTATCGAAATTGTCAAATGAAACAAAATAAAACACATACATAACTACATTTATTTTATGAATTCTTCTTTTTTAAAGCTTTTTTTTTTGTTTTTATTAATTTTTTGGGTTTTAACAAAGTTTTTAAAATTCATTTAAATAAAACGTTACCACTATTAATGTTTAAAGTAGTAATTTATTTTAAATTGGTCTTTTGAGAAATCTTTTAATACAAAGTACCAACCATAGTCACTGAACTCCACTCAGTTGTAAGGGAGTGAATACATTTTATGCCAGCACAAAAATAAAGTCATTAAAATTGTAAATATGTATACAAGTGGCAGCCAAGAAAGGAGGAGTTTTGCGGGGGACGAGGGAGCAGGAAAAAGAAGGACGAGATGACGCAGCCATCCTGTGTGCGTGCAAGAAATGGAAATGCGGTTAATTTCCGTAAAGTATGCAATAATTTCTGGCACTGAGCATAAGCAAGTCCACCCAGTGTATTTTTGTGTGCGAGTGCGATTGCATGTGGATATGCGAGCATATGTATGTATGTGCCTGTGCGAGTGCAGCACAACAAAAGGCAAAGAGTTAAATAACTGCCACGCCTCCCCGCCACTTGCAAGTAAATCTCTTTGGCAGACTGCGAAGACGGAACTAACGAACAAACGGACATTCATCAATATAAATCAACCGACGGCCACAAGCCAGGCCCAGTTGCAAGGATTCGGGAGGAATTGGCGGTAGTTCACATTTAGTGATGACAACAGGACCGATAAAATAGTGGTATAGCAAAAATAGATAGTCTACAATCAAAAAAGAAATATGTATCGATTTTAGGAATAATTATAATTAAAAACTCATATAATAAAATAAAAGATGCCTTATAAATTAAGAAAAACATAACCTAATAATGGCTTAAGGTAGGAGAATTGATGGTTTGCTCGTTCTAAAGAGTTCTTTAAGAGCCATAACATTTAAACGAAAGTTCAATAACATTTTGCTAAGACAAATATTTTATTTATTTGTTTTAAGGCGGTTATCTTAAAAAATATGAATGGTCCCAAGTGATATGGCATAATAAAATTTGAGTGCTTTTCGAATAAGTAAGTATTGAAGAAGGTATTAATTAATAAAATCTCGTAAGCTTACTCAAGATGTATCACAGTATAATTTTGTAAATGATTATTTAATTTACATTTTTTAAACTCCCTAAATTCCAATATTTAAATGTTTGTATTAAATATTTGAGAGTCATATTAAAGTCGATATATGTTACTTGAAAATTTTCCACTCGATAAGCATCTCTACCGAATCAGAAAAAGAAACCGAGGCTGGAGGAAGAGGCAGGCCCAGCGGAATAAATAAAAACATTTTTTTGTATAAAAGTTCCTGCGAATTGGTTGGCAAGCGGGGTCAGTGTGGAAGTGAAAGGAAGAGAAAATGGAAGGGGCCAGGCTGCTGTAAAAATGTTGGCCAAAGAAATATTTTCACATTTTTATTTATTTTTTCTTATTTGGAAAATGGCAAGCGGACGGCTTCGGCTGGTCCCTGGTTTTCGGCACTCGGTCCTTGGTCCTGAATGTCCTTGCAGCTGCTGGTACTGCTGCTGCTGCTGCAGCCACAATAGCATTTTCGTTTCATTATGTTCCGCGTGCCTAAAGGATTGAAATATATATTTGAATTTTTTTTTTTGCTACCGCTGACTGAATCGTTTGCATGTTGCTAGTGGAAAATGCTTTTCCCCTTGCACTGGCACATCGGCATGCTTTACAATACCCAGAAACGTTGAGGCCACGCATTTTGACTTCGGTATTTGCGGCTTTTTATGTAATTCATGGTCATTCCCCATATGCATGTGCCCAGCAAATTTACTGCCTGGCGAAATAAAAAAAAAAAGAAAATATATGCACGGATTTGGGCCGAAACAAGCCTTCCCGAAAATCATGTAATTTATGCGTTTTTTTCGTGCAGTGGCAGCCGAGATGATACAATCAAAGTAAAAATCATGGCAGAACAAATCAAAAAGTCTTGTTAATCCCTTAAAAAAAGGAAAGATATGTTTACATTAAAAAGTAAAAATAATTTACATGTAAATAAGTTTAAAAACATGTGTTTGAACTGCAATTTTCTTTTATATAAGAAATGTTTACCCAAATGACTCATTTGTGATTACTTCATATAAGAATTCTTTATGACAATTCTTTATTGCACTTATTTTTTAAGTCAAATACCTTTTGGTACATGTTTTCAAATTTTAAAAAGCTGGCAGTTAATTTACTAATATTTCAAATAAATATTCTTACCTGTGTTTTTTCTCGGTGTATTTGATAGGCGGTGCCTTTTATTTGTCATTTCCGGTTTGTGCCGGAAGTTGAAATTATTGAAATCAAACGGAAATGCATCGCAGCAAATTCAAAAAAAACCGGGAGCCGAAAAAGCTGTTTAACCCATTTCATATAATGAGTTGAACTTAAGTTGCTGTTCAGACATTAAATAAAAAAGTTAAGTTAAAATGAAATACATGTAGCCATAAATTTATAAATTCAAGTACACTTTGCCAAGAAGCCAAAATTAAAATAAATAAATAAAAATATCATTCAAATATGTTTAAAAAATACCATTGATGCGCCACAAAATGGGTTAAAGCACGACTCCGATCGGTCAATGATCCATCTGTCTAGTTTGTATTTTCCTTCGCGTATAAATAAATATATAAATTTAAATAAATGCTGCCACAATACCCGCACACTCACAGTTTCTTTGTCAATAAATCAGAATACTTATCAACGTCAAACGACCGCAAAGAGTCTACGCAAACAACATAAGCGACCGAGGACCAAAATGTGTGTGCGTAGCAGGTTCTGCAGCGGTTTATTACGCGCCATTAAATTTATTAAAGAAGGCGAAAGGAAAGCTGGGAAAACCAATAGAAAATAGTTTTTGCGATGTGGCTTACCTAAATTGGCCTAAATCAAGAAACGCACTCTAAAATAACTTTTAATTTGTTTTGAAAATATTAAGAATACTAAATACTACAATTTTTTTAGTTAATCAATAAACTGATAGAAAGCAGTACCTATTCTAGATGTGGTTATTCTAAAATGGTCTAAGTCAAAAGAAATATATTGATTTAAATAGTTATATATTACTAAGCAATATACTATATATTCCTAATTGTGTAGCTAAATCATCCAGCACTTGCAGCCTTATTTTATATAAGAATTAAGTTTAAACAACTTAAAAATAATACTTAAATTTAAAATGGAATAAAATACTATTAAAAGTATTACGGTTTTACATATTCAATATATATTAATATTTGTACAATTTAAAAGAACTATAGCGAATGCTACTGTTTCTCTATTTAATATTAAGAGCAATTTTATACAACTACACATTATTCTACGGAAAATCAAATGTTAAATGACGTATCTGTTTTGTTTCATTTTCTTACAGTGCATTTAAAAAGAAAACATCCGACCACTGGCACTTGCTGCTCTATCTATCCTCCAAGCAGGCATTTTGTCTGCCAATTTATGCCCAGTCTTTGCTTATTATGTCTCCACCAAAAACAGTCCAAAACCCCCAAAAACCTTCCAAACCCACATATAGCAACACTGTTTTAGGGCCTAGTCCCGAACTAAGTCCGCTAATTGCGCCGCCTTAGCCGGGCCATCTTCCCCGTCCATAATTATGCGAAATGTGCGCCGTTTCTTCGGACTGTTGCCTGTTATTGTTTGCATTATTAGCTGACAATTTCGGTGGCACTGTGATGCCAAGTGGCGGCTCTGTGATTAGACAGGGTCTTTGGGCCTAGAAATTGTGGGATTAGCAGGGCGCTTTGTCTGTGGCTGGGAACTTGGGCGGAGGAGGAACAGCCGCCTGTCGCTCGATAAGCGCCCTTAAGGCAAGTTGCTGCCAAGAAGTTGATGTTTTTCTTGCATAATTACGGCCATAAGCCAAAGGCTTGTTATTACAGGCCAAGGAACCGGGCGGATTCCTAGAACCAAATCGATTAAATCAATGTTGCTCTTAAAAGGGCTAAATTAAGACATTTATTGTACTAAATGTTCAGAGCAAGCATATTTTTTGCAAGCTTATAAATACAAATTCCCAGAAACCCATAAAATTAACTACTTTTAGAAACACTGCTGCGATTAGAGTGATTAAGGTTTAGTTTTGTATGATACTTTAGAATACTTAAATTGAATTGAACTAATTAATAGCAACTTAATTTATTTTAAGTTAATTTTTTTTAAGCTAAAAACAGATAATATAAGCTCTTTATTGGAAAAAAACAAATAAATAAAGAATAAAATTATGTTGAAAACAATAAAATAATAAGTTTGAAACTATTTTAATGCTTCGTTACGACTAAATTTGATATTCCTGCTTTTTATATAACGGATTATTTTTATTATGTAAAAAGCAATTTCGTTTTCAGTTAAGAGTAAACGTTGAAAGCTATTTAAATGTATATTCATTGGAGTTAAGCTCATTTCTTAATAACACTAATTTAAATATCATAAGTTTTATTTATTTGTAAACAGGATTTCAAAACTCAAAACAGGACGTTTAAACTATTTCGCATTATTCAAAGGAAAGTGTCGATTTTGTTTTTTAAATTTAAATTAAATTTCCTCTTATCTGAAACAAAACCGCTCCCGAACACCCATCGTACAGTTTCCGTTGTCTCTTCATTTGTCTTTAAAGTGAGGTAAATATTTTAGAATTTACCTGAATCGCATGCAAAAGCCTTTGTCAACATCGATGGACCGCTGTGACCAGGCTCATTGTTTTAGTTTTTTGCGAATGCACAATTGTTCAGTGTCGCCATGGTTGTGGCATGCACAAAGCGCTGATTGCACAGCCCATCCACGCACTAAAGCTTTCAGTACCAACTCTTTTTTTTTCCTTTTTTGGCGCTGACATGTCCAGGCGATGGTCAAAAAAAGCAAACCCCATACCCATATATGTATATTCAATAGGCCCACGCTTGCCAGAGAGTGTTTTCCGACGTTTTTCTGTAATTCGTTGTAGTTTTTTCCAAGTTGGCTTTCAGCAAGGGAGCTGGAAAAAAGCGGCCTGCCTACATAAAGGCGCTAGCATATTAAAGGCTTAAACCCACTCAACGGCAGATGCCATATTGTTGAAATATATGCAGATACGTCGCGCATACGTCATGTGGAGATGGAATCCGGTTCGCAAAATACATTCCATTCAAGGAGCTTGCAGCGATTTTTCACTGCGAGCGTTTAAGCAATCAAATGCTGCCAGACAAAGCATATTTTACAATTAAAATTCTAAAGGATTTTTACAGCGAGCTTTGAGCTTTGCAAGTCATTTTTATGTAATTTAAAGAAAAGAATTTGAAATTTTATTTCTACTAGAAAAGCTAAAAATTCAATATGTTTTTAATTCTTTAAATATAATTTTGAATAATAAAGCAAGGTTGTGATTAAAAATAACACTCAAATTTGAATTTGAAAATATAATATTTCTCTTAAATTTTAAAATCAATCAATTAACAGGTAGCATAAATTATAATTAGTTATCTATAACAAAAGCTACGAATTCAAGTTGTTTTATTGAGTCTGACCCTAAACCAAATCAAAGTACTCAGTTTGCTGTATATCGATCGAAGCCGGCCTGGAACCTTTCGCAGTGCTGTCGTCGTGCCGTTAGATCTCATTCAGTTTATACTTTCGCTCCGAACAACTTCCAAATTGTACAGCAAAAATTGGTAAAAAAAAAACAAACAAAAAAAATTTACTATTTTTCTATATAAATTTCGTATTTCGGAAAATGTGTTCGCCGTGCGGTCCCTGCAGCCCCTGTGATCCTTGCTGCGGTCCCTTCGAGTGCTCGCCCAAGTGCTACAATGCGGCCCAGTTGGAGGCACTGCCGCAATGTGCTCCACGCATTCCACCACCATTTCCCAAATGCATTACTGTGCAGCAGCCACCGCGAATGATCTGCAAGAAGCGAGTGGTTTTCACGGAGAAGATAGTGCCGGAACCAATGGTGGTGAACAGATGTAGGCAGATCACCATACCCAAAGTTGTGGATGCCACAAGGGTCATCAAGGTTCCCAAGTTGATTTGGGTGTCTCAGATGGTGCGAGAGCCCAGGGTCATTTACTATCCATCGATGATACCCGACCCCTATGTGGTGTGCTATCCCAAGCGGGTGTGCGAGCCCCGGGAGGTGTGCCAGTCGATCCTGTGCCAGCCGAAGCCCCAGACCATCGATATCCCGCCTCCAAGAGAGTACTGTTGCTACCCCAATGGACCCATCAACTACAAGCCCAGTGCCGCCTGTCCACCCTGCCCCATTGGACCTTGTGCTCCTGGAGGACCCTGCTGTCCACTGCCCTGCTTTTCCACCAATCAGTACCCCGTGGCCGAGGGCAGATGTGGACCCTGCGGACCCTGCGGACCTCGATGTGGACCTTGTGGACCCGGCGCCTGTGGTCCTTGTGGACCCTGTGGCCCGAGATGCGGTCCCTGTGGACCCTGTGCCGTGCCAAACTGCGGACCCTGTGGACTCACGATGCCGTCGGGTCCGTTTGTGCCGTCGCCATTGGGACCCTGCGCCCCCGGCAACTCCTGCGGCCCCTTCGGCAACAGTCCCGCCGGTCCCTGCGGACCCTGTGGCCCCTGCTCGCCCCCGTGTCCCTACGAGTCTCCGGAGTGCGGACCCTGCTATCCCTGCGCCCCCACACCCTGGAACACGCACTGCGGTCCTGTGGGTCCCTGCGGTCCCCAAGTTCCTTGCGGTCCTGGAGGACCTTGCTAGGATCGTATCGTATCAGATCGGATCGGATCGGATCGCCCTTTGTCAGAAATCAGTGCCCTGTAATACAGATCATCATTACGTTATCGCTGTCCTGCCACAAACCACACTCCCAAAAGTCTATAGTTCACTTTGCTATGTCAGCGCATTGACGACTCATTGGCTGTAAATATAAATCGGAAATAAGCGAATCTCACTTGGTTTCCCTACTCTACTCGGGTAAATCGGGAACTATTTTTTGAGGGGAGATTTTTGGTGTTGCTGAGTTTTATTGTATTTATACAATGGGCATTTCACGCACTCATTTCATGCTCTCTTCATGTAATTGGAAAGTAAAACATTTAATGTACTTGCTTAAATACTATGAATTCAAACCAATTGCGTGAAATGGTGAGTCGCAGCCAACTTTGTTCGATATACAAAAGGTGGTAACGCCGGACGTAAAAGTACAACATTGAAATTAATTTCCTCTTGCTCTCTCCTCTTTATTACTTTAGTCTTCACACTGCTTTTTTGATAATTAGTTGTCCTGTCGCTTTGGCGATGGAAAAAGTGTTAATAATTAGCTACATTAACAATACTAGCAGAGATGCCAGACATGTAAATTTAATAGCGACTTATGTCTGGAGTCTCTGCTAATATTATTTCATGCATTCGTCTGTATCGCATAAACAGGGTCTACTTTGATTTCATGTATTTAAGAATTCATGAAATTTAAAGTATTAACATAGTATTCGTCATTTTAGACGTCATGTGTGTTTAAGTATAGCTGCCATTTCGAAACCAGTTTCGCTTCGATACGCTTCCAAATTTCTCTGATCAAATTTTGTATAAAATAAAATATAAAAATTTATTTTTCAGCTCCAACTTTGGTTAGTTTTTTGTAGAATCAAACCATGTGTTCGCCGTGCGGTCCCTGCAGTCCCTGTGATCCTTGCTGCGGTCCCTTCGAGTGCTCGCCCAAGTGCTACAATGCGGCCCAGTTGGAGGCACTGCCGCAATGTGCTCCACGCATTCCACCACCATTTCCCAAATGCATTACTGTGCAGCAGCCACCGCGAATGATCTGCAAGAAGCGAGTGGTTTTCACGGAGAAGATAGTGCCGGAGCCAATGGTGGTGAACAGATGTAGGCAGATCACCATACCCAAAGTTGTGGATGCCACGAGAGTCATCAAGGTTCCCAAGTTGATTTGGGTGTCTCAAATGGTGCGAGAGCCCAGGGTCATTTACTATCCATCGATGATACCCGACCCCTATGTGGTGTGCTATCCCAAGCGGGTGTGCGAGCCCCGGGAGGTGTGCCAGTCGATCCTGTGCCAGCCGAAGCCCCAGACCATTGACATTCCACCGCCGAGGGAGTACTGTTGCTACCCCAATGGACCCATCAACTACAAACCCAGTGCCGCCTGTCCACCCTGCCCCATTGGCCCTTGTGCTCCTGGAGGACCCTGCTGTCCACTGCCCTGCTTCTCCACCAATCAGTACCCCGTGGCCGAGGGCAGATGTGGACCCTGCGGACCTTGCGGACCTGGATGTGGACCTTGTGGACCTGGTTGCGGACCATGTGGACCTTGTGGACCTGGTTGCGGACCTTGTGGGCCCGGATACGGACCTTGCGGACCCTGTGGACCTTACGCCTGCGGTCCATGTGGACCAGGAAATTGTGGCTTTGGTCCTTGTGGACCTTGCTAAAGCGAGCAGCAAAAAAACATCTTGTGACGCCTCTACGTTTTGGAAGTTCGCACCCAAATTTATGCCAGTCCCTAATAGACTCTGCTAGTCTCGTTAAATAAAGAAGTGCGTTTGAAACCATATTATATACTAGTATATATTTTTGGGGGAAACATAAATTAGTGATCCAGGATAGGTCCAAGGTAGCGAAAACGACGGCTCAACCCATCAAATAAATATGTACACTTGCATAGCTCATTTCTTAACGAAACACCTATCGGTTCTATTTTTTTTTTACATTATATGTGTAGGGTTGTCAACGCCGGCCAATTTAATTTCAACATTTAAGATTAATAACTTATGATTAACGGAGAACAAAAAGTTTACAATAATTTATTATTGCAAGAAAAGGAGCAGCAAGTGATTACGACTTAGCAAAGGAAGGTCATGTGCCTTTCAATAAAGATATAAACAGTTTAAAGTAAGAAAACCAGAGTTTATTAAAAACTAAATTATTTTTTTTTTCAACCAAATTTAACAAAAAAAAGCCTTTCACACATATACAATATTTTACAAAGACAACTCTGTAAAAAACCAACCGGATACGAAATTTCTAGTTTTTTTTTGACAATCCATATATGGTCACTACAAAAAGTGAACACCTCAAAAAATTAAACAATTGTGTCACTGAGTAAATTATCAGCTTTTTTTCTAACCAGTGGTAGTACCTAAAATACAAGCCAGAAACTTTATAAATTTGTTCTGAAGTAAATCATGCCGAACTATATGGCCAGAGTGGGTCCAGCGGTTTTCTCCAAATTGGGTAAATGGGCCTACAACATGTCCGGATTCAATCAGTACGGCCTGTATCGCGACGACTGTCTGCATGAAAACGAGGATGTGGCAGAGGCAGTGCGTCGTCTGCCCCGCAAAATATACGATGAGCGCAACTACCGCATCTTGAGGGCACTCCACCTGTCCATGACCAAGACCATTCTGCCCAAGGAGCAATGGACCAAATACGAGGCGGACATTAAGTATCTGGAACCCTATCTGAATGAAGTGGTTAAGGAGCGCGAAGAACGTGAGGAGTGGAACAAAACTCATTAATTTTTGAAGCTTAGTGAAGCTATCAACCTGAAACTAATAATAAAATATACAACTCAAAATCGAGGTACTAATAATTAAAGTTCCTTATTTTGTTGTACAATAATAAAACAAATTAGTCCACAAAATTAATTTAAATTTAATTTAAATAAAATATCACATTGATAACAAAACATCTAAATATCAGCTTATTCCCAGCTCTATTTTAACCCATCTCATGATATGTACAGCAGATTTCAAATACTTTTCAATCCCCTGGAATGTCAACACAAATAATTTTCGCATTAAGTGCATTGGCATAAATGCAATATATGAAATTCATTAACAGCGAAAACAATACAAATTAGTGCGAGGGGGCGTGACCCGGCCAATGAACACGTGTATGCCACCGCCCTCCCAAAATTAAAATGGCAGCGGCAAACAAAATGCATGTGCATGGCCCGTACATCCTGTCAATCCTCGTACACTTATGCGCATCCTGTTTAAAATGCAACAAACAGCAAACAGCAACAATGCAGTTGCAGTTGCAGATGCAGATGCATATTCGCAACATATATATCTCCACCTCTGCCGCTGTCTGATTGTTCTGGCGCTGCCATTGGACCGGAAGAAATTATTGTTATTCGAATTGATCTGCCATAGCTTCGATGTTGTCCAGTGCGATAGGCACTGCTGCCAGAGGAGCGATATCGCTGCGTCTGCGGCCAGTAACTGCCGGAGTTCTGATAACGTCAACGCAGGAGAATGCAGCAAATGATATTGGTTCCCTGTAACTATAGCAGCAGGGTATATGGTGTTTAAAAAAAAATTTCAACAAAATTTGTAGACCTCGGAAGAGGAGCAGAAATAAATTGGGTTTTAAATCGCTGATAAAAGCTGTACAAAATAATGAATTTAAAAAGATGACTCATTTTGGTATAAAAACATGTTGATGCATACTTCTAGACACCTTTGTAAATGCTTTCAAAACTCTAGTGATTTCTGAAGCAACCCCTTATTCGCAATATTAATACTAAACTTTCTGTAAAGCTACTTGCTTTTGGATTAAAAACATATTGTTGCATACTTTTAGACACATTTGTAAATGTTTTCAAAACTATTGATTTCTATAGCAATACTCGTAAACTATCGGAAGAAGATGTCTTAAATAATGAAGTGACTAAAACGAAACCTTTTGCAAAACTCCAAATATATTGATGCATACTCTTGGACACCTTTTTAAGCATTTGCAAAAATTTCTATAGATCTGTACCACACATATATTCGTATTATTTACAGAACTTTTATGGCAAATGGGATTTCTAGAAAGCAAGTGCAGTAACTTATTAAAAGGCAAAAGTAAAGTATTGAATAAAATTAAAAAAAAAAAAATCTTCCGTTATTATAATTCCCAAGCTTTTACTTGGTCGTATTGCACGACCCAAAAGGATTTTGATAAAAACAAAAATAACATGTTAATAAGGGAGTAATTATTAGTCTGATCCGTCGTTTATGGACCTTTTTCGTGCTTTTTTTTCCATGCAACCATCGCCAGCGTTATTTATTTGCGCTCACATATGCATAAATAATGGGTAGGAATACCTCCCAAACACCCACCCATCACACAGTTGCCCAACTGCCGCTTGTACAATAAATTGCGAAAATATTATTTTATCAACAATAATTAATTAAATGCACTTAATTGCGTGCCGCAGTCGCAGTTGCTGTTGCAGTTTTGTTGCTGGGTTTTCATTTTTTGTATTTTGTATTTTTGTTGCCTTATTTTTGTGTATATTTTCAGCTTGTCCCCTGTTCGACCTTGTTTTTATGCAGCTGCTACTGATGTGGGTGGTGTGGTGATGGGGTGACTTGGATGCTGGATGGGCGGTAGCTGAAACATGGTCATCTGCATGCATATGCTTGAGCAGCGTTGTAAGTAGCCATGTAACTGGACAAGTGGCCAGCCGTTCTCGTTCTCGTTCCCATTCTCCTTTTTCCCTTTCGACCGAAACTCTTTCTGCGATTTATGCGTATTTTTAAGTGGCATTAAGTGCGCGTTAACATCTTATGAAGCCGGCAACGGCAACAATAAATTATTGCAACAGCAACAGCAGCAACAGCAACATCTGGATTGCCATTAAAAGCCCCGAAGCAAATGCTAATTGACGAGTGCCAGAAAGTGTGCTTTAAAAAAAGGCGGTAAGCTTAATGAGTTGTGCAGCTAATTGGGGCAATGCAACTACAGCAGCAACAGCAGCAGCAGCAGAAGTTGCAGCTGCAACCTGCAACATCTCGAGCTGTTTCATTTGCATTGTTATTGCGGCAAGTTGGTGGGCTTGCTGCATTTTTGGGTTTCGGTTTTGGTTACGCTTTTGTTAATGAAGTTTGTCGGCCGACATGCGGCAGGGAGAAATATTATGCATACGCCATGT